TTTTTTAATTTAAATTTTATAATTCTGTAAACTAAAGATTGACAGGTCTGTTTTGATGAATTTCACTTTTTAGTTTAATGAACTATAAAATTATTGTCGGCGTTAATTAATTAATGCATTAACGCGATAATAACGCGTTAACTTGCCCAGCCCTAATATATATATTACAATATATACAAATATATATATATATATATATATATATATATATATATATATATAAATATATATATATATATATACATATATATACAAATATATATATATATACAAATATATATATATATATATATATACATAATTATATATATATATATATATATATATATATATATATATATATATATATATATATATATATATATATATATATATATATAGTATATATATATATATATATATATATATATATATATATATATATATAGATAGATAGATAGATAGATAGATAGATAGATAGATAGATATATATATATATATATATATATATATATATATATATATATATATATATATATATATATATATATATATATATATATATATATATATATATATATATATATATATATATGTATATTAAAGGTTGTTCACATAAACACTGGAAAAAAAAATTTTCTCTGATCTGAATGCACACTGGTTTGTTTTGTGCCAATTTAGCATTAAAATTTACAGTGCGATTGGCACTTTAAAATTTACTGTGCAAAAGATAATTAAAATAAATTAATTTTTAGAGGTTGCTCAATGGCCTTTTAGTTTTACAATAATAGCATTACGCCTTGAACAATTTTCTAATTTTATCCCATGTTCAGTTTAGATAAAATATAAAACAAATTTGATATACCATTGTCTTTTATGAGCTAACTTCTTTGGTCATGTGACAAGCAGCCATCTGGTCATCTGATGTTTTTGGTTAAAAAATATTTTCAATAATTGTAATTTTTTGCTGAACAACTGAAATATTTAAAGATTTTGAGGTCCTTATTTATTTTAATTTTATAAAATAATAATTATAGCTGTTATGCCAATATCTTGTTTTTTTACTTATCAAGGTCCAAAACTTCAACAAGATCTTGTGACTGTTTTGCTGAGATTTCGAAAATACCTAATGGCTTTAGCTTGTGATATAACGTTTTTAAAAGTTGGAATACATAAAGATGACCAAAGGTACCAACGAATTTTATGGAGAAACCTAGATCCAATTGCCAAGCCTGAGGTGTTTCAGTTTAATTGACTGGTATTTGGAATCAACTCAGCACCTTTTATGGCTCAATTTGTAACGCAAGAACACGCAAGAAAGTATGCACAAAAGTTTCCTTTGGCTTCTGAAGCTGTTCTTAAAGAAACTTACATGGACGACACAATAACTTCTGTAGTTGATAAAAAAGTAGGAATTTAATTATACAAGTGTTATATCCTAATAGCAACAATAACACCACTGAATATAGTAATAACTCTTTGTAATAACTCAATATGTAATTTATTTATAACACCACACTACAAGTAAAGTTTTTGCTTCGTGTCTCTCAATATAATATCCGGACGTGTTGGAAACTCGCTTGCACTTTTCTTTATTCTACATAACTGTGAACCGTGAATCGACACAACTGTGTCTCGATATCATTTCCTTGAAAGTTTTTAATTGAATTCTTAAATGTTTGAACCATTCTTTCTGCTTGACCATTTGAAGCAGGATCATACGGTGCAGAATGCGGTGGTTTAATTCTATTTGAATATAAAAACTTTTTATATTCTTCACTCAAAAATCCAGATCCATTGTCACTAACGATAACTCGCGGTATACCATGGGTAGAAAGTAATCTTCTGAATACCTTTGTTGTTGCTTTGGCTTCATTACTGTGCACTACTTCCACCTCAATCCATTCTAAAAAACTACCAATTATATTACGACTACTACCAAATATATTTTCCAATTCATAGGGCCTGCATGATCGATATGTAGTCGCTCCCATGTTCTACTTGTATATTCCCAAGGATGAGACCAGGTTGATAAATTCTTCTGATATCTTTGGCATGTCTCACAATTCTTTACTTTATCCTCTATATTTCTGTGTCAATTCCAGGCCACCAAACATAACTTCTTGCTAAAGCCTTCATTCTACTTATTGCGGGATGCACCTCATGTAATTCCTCAAGTACTGTTTCTCTTAACAAACTTGGCACCATCACTCTTCTTCCCCACAGTAAACAACCTCCTTCCGTTAGTAACACAGAAAACCTTAATTCAATTGGTTTCATCTCCACCTTCGGTTCCATTGCCAACCCTCCCTCTAACACTCTATTCAGTACTACTTCTAATATTGGATCGTTTTGGGTAGCTCCTCTTAACTGTTTTTCTGTAATCGGTGTTTTCACTAGTTCCATCATAACAACCTCTATGGTTTTAAACATTGACTTTTCTTTTGATACGTCTAAAGGTAAATGGCTCAGACCATCTGCAGTTGCGTTCTTTTCGACTGGACAGTATAGTAATTGGTAATCATAAGCTGACAATAGCAAAGCCCAGCGTAACACTCTAGCAGCAGCTCTTTTAGGAAGTTCTTTGCTTTCTGAAAATAGTCTCAATAGGGGTTTATGATCTGATACAATGTAAATATACAAGGTATATTTAAAAATAGTTATATCCTGCCTTTTTTTGATAAGATATAATCTTCGTATGTCAAAAAAAATATTATATCAAAATATATTTAAATAGTATAGTAGTACTAAAACAACTACAATAAAATAATAGTAATTTTTATTTTAAATATTTTATTGTAGTTTTATTTAATAAAGAGTTATTAAATAAAACATTGCCTAATTTACTTGTAAGATAAACAATTTTTTTGTGTCGTTTTGGTCAAAACAACACAAGAAAGTAGTTCATCTTACAAATAAATTAGGCAATCTTTTCATCACAGAATTAATATACTGAGACTGTATGTTTTGCCCCGATGTAAATATAATGATTTTAAATTAAATTATGAAAGGTTTCATACAATTTCTGACTCATGCCCTAATTCTTCAGTTTAGTATATTGGCAGGGTTTAACATTTTTAATACTTATAATAATATATTTTTACTTAGAAGGTTTTTTTCGTGCTGAGTAGTTAAAACTTGTCAGCCGAGAACTAAGAGGCGGCATTCCACATTATGTGTTTTTTTTAGTTAAATAATAATAAATATTCAATAATTAATGGGGTATATGTTCAATAAATCAAGTCTCAGGAATAATACAATTTTTTAAAGTATTTAAAAATCGGAAAATCTGGCAAAAAGTCTTTACAAATTAATTTTTATCTTGATTTTCTTAAAAACACAAAAAAAAGGACATACGGCCTCTTTGTTCTCGGCTGACAAACTATATTTTGCAACTGTTTTGTCAATTGATTTTTTCTTTAAAACTTCACATTGGAGCTAAGATTATAATTTCATCTAACATTTCATTCCTGTTGACATCACCCTTGCCAAAAAGAAAGTGCATGTTTTTGTACTTTTCTTTAACTGCATCTGTTTCACATTTTTTATTTTTCATGTTATAGAGGAACTCAAAATGTGTCTTGCGATTTTCCATCTGTCATTAATTGTAGTATCTAAAACTAAAAAATGAAATTTAAAAAATTTATAAACTTCACTGATTCATCTTAATAGTAAAATTGCTTTTTGATCTTTCTTGACTTGACCATAACTCCATCAGAGAACCTTAGATCGATCCAGAGGCGTCTCGAAGGGAGAGTAGGAGGGTGACTAGTCTCCTAAAGAAATTTATTAGTCGGCATATACACTAGAGTTGGCAAAATGGAATCTATAGTTGGCAGTCGGCAAATGTTTCATTAAGATCTTTTCGGGACGTCCAGTTTTCTCCCAGTTCCATTGCATATATAAATACTAAAGAGACCATTTTCCGATCACATCTTCGCTTAAAACATGACACTTTCAATTAGTTTTAAAGCGCTCTGCAGATTAACAGTTTTCATCTTAAGTGTTTTGCTTATTAAATTAAATTTGAACGAGACATCAAACCGAGAGACCAAAGAGCAGAAAAATTTGAAATCTGCAATTTTCGCAGAGAATTAAAGGCACCTATCCCGCTTTCCCAACGGGATTTACTTGGATGATTAATAGTCAAATAGTTTACGTAGTTTGTTAATGTACTTCATTTAAAGGTTGATCCAGAAAAAAAGGTATAAATCTCTTGAATATTGCTGAAAAAGTTAACAGCTAGAGTGCAGGAAAAAGCTGCATCATTGAAAACAAGTTTAGTGAATGGCTTTCACAAGAAACAAAAAACGCTCGTGGGTCAAGGTTAAGGATCTTTTTTCGACTCCTACGTTCTTTTCCTTTATGTTTGATCTATTATAAAACCTTTGCCAAACATATTTTGTAAAGATGTTCTATTTTTTAAAGCTTGTCCAACAAGCAAGCCGTCAACCCTTGCACAAATGTTTCTGAGACATAAAAAAATCGAAGAAAATGTCTCCTTACCTTTACTTCTTCTACTGCAACTGCATACACAATCCAAACTAAATGTAGCTTTTGTTCTTTACAAATTATTTCAGAAGTTCAGTCATGATTTATAGAATAACACAAAATTTTCTGCAGTTCACACAAGATAAACTCTATAACTCTACAGGAAAGAAGACCAATAGACTAGTTTTTATTAAGTATTCTGGTACGGTTCCGATGAAAAAATGGCTAAAATTAAAATTTATAATTATACAACTAATTATTAAGGCTGTCAGGTAGCCATTGCGAAGCAAATTTGTACATATAAGCATATTAGTTAAAAGATTGGCAAAATGAGACTACTTCTTGATATGTATAAATTCCTCTCAATCACGTCAAGCTTTTGGAATAGTAAGTTTATTTATCTAAACATAACCTTCTTTTTTATATATCTTTTCTATTATACCATTATTATGTAAATCAAGATATTTTTAAATATTTTACTTTATTTTCTATAGGATAGCTTTGAAAATGAGTCTTATAAAATTTTTTTGAACTCAGAAGAACCGTTTCAGCCTTCGAGTGGCACGTTTGCAATATCGGCAACAAGAGTTGAAAAAGAAAACAATATTTTGGTAAAATTTGCTTCGCAAAGATTCTTTTAATTATTTTTGTGAACTTGTGAAAATTATATACTTATTAAAATCTTTATTTGAAATATTAGAATAAAGATAAGACGGGTGAGGCAATTACTACAAACGATCCGGTTTTGTTAGCTGAAAATATGTCCAAAGTAGAACGCGATGCAGATGTTCTTCAGGGGCCTCCTAAAAATCCTTTATCTTTTCCGAGAGACTCGAACAAGATTAAGGTTTCTGAATCAGTTTTCCACGTAATAACTCGTAATGGGATGAAAATAAACAGAGATTGGCTTGTGTGGAGTGCAACTTCAAAATCATTTCTTTGCTTTCCGTGCTCACTTTTCGGAAGCAAGCAAGCCTGCTGGGCTGGTAATAATTCACATCTTCTACGTCGGAATAGTGGCATCAATGGAAACTGGAGAAAGCTAGCTGAAAAAATAAAAAGCCACTAAAACAATCCTCACCATCGAGACAGTTACATTATTTGAAAAACAGCGCTGGAAAGCTTGGTAAATCAATGTGGGATTGATTCAAGTTTTGAAAAATTGATAAGAAATGAGGCAGCCAGGTGGCGTGACATTTTAAAGTGCATTTTAGATGTAATTCTCATCTTAGTATCACGCAACCTTAGCTTTAGAGGTATATTTGTGAACATTAATTATTATATTTATGTTTTCGTTATAATTAATTTTTACTATAATTAAACAGAAAGTCATGATTTATATGTGTAATTACAATTGATGTTTTAGGCTCATCAAAAATGATCGGTGATGACGATAACGGCAATTTTCTTGCAACTCTAGGTCTACTCGCATAGCACAACAAGACTCTTCAGTTACATCTAGAAGAGGTTTCTCGCTGCCAACAAAAAGGTAAACAAAATGTTGCGCATTATTTGGGTTGGAGTTTTCAAAATGAATTTATAAAAGAGTGCGGAAGAATTGTCTGCGGTATTATCATTGAAGAGGCGCATATGGCAATATACTATTCCATTCTTGTCGACGGACGCCTGACGCTTTGTCTGCTATGGTATTGATAAAAAATGGGTAGTTAAGGAGCGCTTTCTTGGGGTCGAAAGTCTCGATAAAAAGATAGGTGTGGATATTGCTAAGCTAATTATAGATGTTTTAGATCAAAATGACATTGATCTGAAGAACTGTCGATATGATACCGTTGTCAGGGATATGACAACGGTGTCAATATGTCTGGTGTGTACAAAGGAGTACAAGCGATTCATTCTAGCTGGTGTTTATTCCCTTGAATCTTCTGTAGAAATAAAGAACTATTTCGGTCGTATTCAGTTACTCTACAATCTTTTTAGTGGAAGCCGTATACGATGGAAAATCTTAACCGAGACGACTGGTTTGTCTCTACATCAAACTTTACAAACCCGATAAAGTGCACGCATTGAGGCTATGAAGCCGTTGGTTAAGCGACCCAGAGAAATCCTTTTATCATTGCAGAAACTTCGTGATCTTGATTTAACTGCTAATCTATTAATTGACGTAAAATCTTTTAATACAAATTGATAATAATTTTAATACAAATTGATAATAAAAAATAATGATATTATTAACAAGGTATATATGTACAACATACATATATACCACGCATGCAACTGATTTTTATGTGTATTACACGTCCAGAAAAAGGTACTCGATGACAAGACTGACTTAAGTCTTCTGCGAGCTTCCTATAACTACTAACAAGTAATTCTTCTAATCGATTTTGTTTTTATAATATTTATACACAAAAATTAGTTTGAAATGTGGTAAATAAACTTACAGTCAAACATCTAAACACTTCTCGGAAAAGTCAGCTAATTTGTTTTTATTTATAGTATATTTTTATTTTAACTGGAATAATATAGAGATATATTTATCAGATAATATTTATGTACACGTTACTACATTGTTGTAATTCGTGTTTATTTTAATGGTGCCTCGGAGTTGCATGCAACAATATTTTTTTTTACTTTGTACTTTATGTTTATGATATTTATGTTAGTATATCTTTACCGTCAATCTGTGATTGGTTACTTGTAAATACTTTGTAGATGTAAAATACATGCAGAAAAAAAGAAAAAAAAAAGTTTATATTATATGAAACAATTGAGTTTGTTTGCGGCCAATTGAGTTTGTTTGCGGAATTACATCTAAAATGCACTTTAAAATTTCACGCCACCTGGCAGCCTCATGACATGGAACAAACTCCAAAAATTTATATGTTTATACTTATGTCAAATAAAGATGATTTGCAAAAATTTGCGACGATTGGAGTCTGGGAACAAAAAAGCCCCAAAATTTTGGCCACACAAACCCCAAACAAGAGAGCAACAAGTTGATAAAATATTTTTTGTGCAATTCTTAAGTAAATTTATATTTATCGATAAATTCTAAATTTCATACAATAATCTCTTAGTGTTCAAAAAACATGACCTTACAAAATTTGTAACCCCCTCAAATTGAGGGGGGTTAAAGCTTTGTGCAGTTATAATTTTTGAACACTAAGAGATTATTGTATGAAATTTAGAATTTATCGATGAATATAAATTTACTTGAGAATTGTACAAAAAATATTTTATCAACTTGTTGCTCTCTTGTTTGGGGTTTGTGTGGCCAAAATTTTGGGGCTTTTTTGTTCCCAGACTCCAATCATCGCAATTTTTTGCAAATGATCTTTATTTGACATAAGTATAAACATATAAATTTTTGGGGTTTGTACCATGTCTGGAAGTTAGTTCCAAAATCTCAAACATCAAAAAATGCTGGATCCGCGCCTGTATATATATATGTATATACATATATATATATATATATATATATATATATATATATATATATATAATATATATATATATATATATATATATATATATATATATATATATATATATATATATATATATATATATATATATATATATATATATATATATATATGTATATACATATATATATATATATATATATATATACATATATATATATATATATATATATATATATATATATATATATATACATATGTATATATATATATATATATATATATATATATATATATATATATATATATATATATATATATATATATATATATATATATATGTATATACATATATATATATATATATATATATATATATATATATATATATATATATATATATATATATATATATATATATATATATATATATATATATATATATATATATATATATATATATATATATGTATATACATATATATATATATATATATATATATATATATATATATATATATATATATATATATATACATATGTATATACATATACACAGTTTTTTCAATTGCAACTTTTGTCAAATTTGTTATAAAATATGCTCTAAATTGAGTTGTTGACTTCTACGAAATAAATATTCGAGTTTGAAGGGTCTAATAAAATGTGTGGTTTGCTTTTTTTTGTAATAATCTTTGACATGAGCCTATAATATTCAGGAAAGCTTCCCACTAGGAAAGGGAAACTGACAGCAGATGAAAAAATAGATATATATGTGTGTGTGGATGTGTACACTTACCTGTTTTCTAAAATTTTATAGCACAAAATGTGTAAGTACTTTTAAATATTTGATAAGTTTTTAAATTTGATTTAAAACATAATATAAGTCACGTTTTCATTACATATAGTCATCATCAGTTGAAATATAAGCATAAAATATCAGAGAGATATGCATGTTTTTTTTATATGCACAATTCTAAAAAATACTTTTTAGACGTATCTTATTGTGTAACAAATAGTCTCATAATTACAACCTATTTCAAAGTAATTTCAAAGAATTGCACTTAAATTTTTACAGCTTTACTTTATTTAACAGTCTTAGGTCTTATTAAAATTTTCGATCAATAAACATTCAAAAGAAGCAATGCTAATCTTGATCTTTGTTACAATATCAAAATTACTTTAAAATTCTTAAGTATGACTTGTATCCATTTTGGCTATTAATAAAAAATCCACAATTCTTACTTATATAAAGATGCTGTTCTTTTACTAGCTTACAACCTATCGAATTCTAAATGATTTAAAATTTTTTATATTGAAAAAATATCCGTTAACAAAATGATGATTTTGCTCAATTGTTAAGAGACATTTTAAGTTGGTAAGAGTAATTTGATTTCACTCTAGATTTTTGCTTTTGGCAAATTTGATAGTGGAAAACCTTAAAAATTAAACTCTAGCAACTTGACACTTATCATTCAGTATATGAAAAGTTATATAATTCTTTTGCAGTCGAACTGTGATTTAAATATATGAATAATTCATTCTGCATACTGGCATTACTTATATTAAAGGCAAATATCTCTGTACATACATCAACTGACTTATACATTTTATTGCAGAAAATTTTGCATGCGTTTATTGCAGAAAATTGTACATGCATTGACTGACAAGTTTGGGGATTTATTTATACACAGGAGTATAGTTAGGTCAGCACTATGACATAATTTTTGGGGTAAGGGGGATATCTTTGAAGATATATATATATATATATATTATATATATATATATATATATATATATATATATATATATATATATATATATATATATATATACACACATACATATATACACATTTATGTTTGTACATATGTATATAAATGTTTGCATATTTAAAGGATAACCCCACAATTCAGAGATAAAATGTTGGAGTGTTTTCGCAGAAAACGTTATTAGCACATTTTTAAACAAATTCGATCAAAGTAGCAACTCAAGAAAATATTAAGCTAAAAAGAACATTTCTATTTAAGTAGACCAATTGCCAAACAGATCAAAGCATTGCATCAATATATCACACATATTTATTCTAAAAAGCATACATGTTTTTCGTTGCAAAAAAATAGGCCAGTTATGAATACAAAGTAAAAAGAGGGGAGTAATATAAAGCAAACCCCGAAGTGTAAGGAATGAGAAGGGACCTAATTTAAAATTGAAAAAAAGAAGTTGAAGAACTAAACTAATGCACTTAATTGTCTATCAAACTGAAAAAAAAAAACACTTTAATTTTTTACGTATTTGATTTTAAAAATAATATATATATATATATATATATATATATATATATATATATATATATATATATATATATATATATATATATATATATATATATTGTTTTTCCATATAAATCTAAATAAAAATGTTAAAATCATTACCCACTTCTTCCTTTAATTGTGCCGATGTCTTAAAGAGGCCTTATTTACCTCTTAGTTTAATCACTACCACAGCAATCTTGTTTTCTAGTTAAGCGTTGGGGGGCATCTATAAAGTACATACGCAGTAAAACAACTAATCCCCCCCCTCCCCCTTGTCATATCTGCATACGTATCGAAGACTTCTTGGTTAAATAAAATGATGAAATGCTCCAAATAATATGCTTTAACGATTATTTTTTAATTTCAAAAACCGCTTTTCAATAATATCTATTGAATTACTTTTACATAATTTTGACATAATTTTTTACAAACTCGAAATTTTATATTCAAATAAGACCCGTGTTTTTTTTAAATATATGCTACGAATATACTCTTGGGTATTTAAATGTTGGGTACGTGTATTTGGAAAAATATATAGGTAAAAAAACTACTAATCGAGGGTTGGGACATATATATGATATATAAATATTTATAATATAAACTACTAATCGAGGGGTGGGGCTTATATAATGTGTGCGTATATATATATATATATATATATATATATATATATATATATATATATATATATATATATATATATATATATATTTATTAGGGTGTGTCATACTTTTTTTTTTTTGAATTTTGACTCGCATAATTTAAAAAAGGGTGAGGTATAATATTACAAGTTTAAAACCGTCAACAAAAAAAAAAAAAAAAAAAAGTTTTAGCTACCAGGGAACCAGAGACACTATTTTACCAAAAACCCTAAGGAAGGGGGAGGTATGAACTTAAAAAATTGAAATATTTTTAAAAAAAAACTTACAAAACGCAAAAAAAACGTCATCTCTATTTAAAAAAAAATAAAATTATTTGTATAAAAACAACTAGAGTGGTTTGCCCCCCTCCCACTACCTCCCACTAAAACTGTTAAATTAGGTTGTTTTGGAATTAAAAATAAAACATTCATATAGATCCACAAAACATCTACTGGCACATTAAAATAAAGTACAATAAAGATTAATTCTTAAACATTGTCAAGCCAATAAGGTTTTGTTTAGATTTCGTGACATCAACTTCTGTGACAACTCTTGTCCTTTAATCCAACCATCTCTTCTATCTTCTGTAAAAACATTTTCGCAAGCCTGAGTAACTTTTTTTACACATCTTTCGACAGCTTGAGTGTGGCAACACCAGTTTGGTACAATCATTGGTTTAAAAAAATACTCTTTGATGTCTTTAGTTGTCAAGCAACAAGTCAAATGTGGTTCAAAAGCTTCATTCCAATCAATAAGGTCCTTGAGACAAATTGCTTTAGTATTGATATCTGGTGTCCTTCTTGGTCTAACAGATAGATCTCCAAGTTGTACATTTTCATCACCTTCTCCTCTTATTTCAAGAATTTTGTTTACACTGAATTCTCTCTCCTCTTTATTTTCAGAACAAAGCATAGTTTGAAGAATAGATTCAGAGAAGGCATACCAAGCAGATCGCCTAATAGTTGGAATGACCATATTTTGAATATCGAGTGACTGGTGTTGAAGCAACTTAAGCTGGTAAAGAACATGTTTTGGTCCTTCTGTCCAACTATATTTAACTTTGATGTTAAACCAGACAGGAAAGTACACTCCTACAATAAACTCGACTAGTTTAAGAAGGTTTTGGGCTGCATCGCCTTGAAGACCATGATGAGATACCCAAATTCTACATATTCTATTGGCTGTTGTTAGCCATCTGGCCATGTGAAAGGTCTTTAACCACATCATTACTCAAGTTAATTAGAGGCTCACCAGTTTCCACTCTACTAAAAAAAGGGTTAATCTCAAGATTGGTTGCTTCATCAAGTAAGCTTCCAATGGGTCCAATCCATTTTGTACCGCTTTTAGATTCTCCGTCTAACAATTTAATTAAACGTTTGAGTGGTAATTCATTGGTATGTAGAGCGCAGACAATCCAATTTAACTTTCGCCCTAATTTCAGCTCCATAAAGTGCATTACTCCTCCATCCCAACCAGTTACCAAATTATGTTTTAAACTAATTACGGGAGGCACAAATAAAACACTGGCCATTTGCCATTTTTCTGAAAGTTTATTACAAATATCCTGGATCAAATCAGAATTACTATAGTTTCTTCTGTTTAGTTTGCTTGTTTCTCTTAAAAAAATACCATATCTTAGGACATCTCTCAGTGTTGGCAACTCTTTTCCAGATCCCAAATATTGGCGTAGACAAGAATCATTTTTCCATCTTGTTCCAGCAGCCATTTTAAATTTAATTATACTTTGTATCTAATAATTTTGAAAATTATATATATATATATATATATATATATATATATATATATATATATATATATATATATATGTATAATTTGGATATATATATATATGTATATGTATAATTTGCATAACAAGTATTAAAGCAAAAAACTTTAGAATGATGTTTTCTGTGTAGCCATTTAGAACCATCAATTAAAATGTATAACTTAAATTACATACAAAACTACATCTCTACCCCCTATTTTTATTTTTGATTATGAGAACTTTATGCTGATTATAAATCGTATAAAAACATAGCTCTGAAAACTCAAGCAAATTACTCTAATTAGATCTTGAAGTTTAAAATATTACACAAAAAACGCTAATATTCGCTATCTTTTTTAAATGCAACTAAACGCTTTTTTATAAATCTTATTTTAAATTACGCAACCCGGTTTTTATTTTCATCGATACTAAAATTTACATAGTTTAAAAAAAGTACAATTATTAATTATAATTAAAAAATAAACTTTTTTTTTTACATAAATTATTCTTTATATTTAAAAAATTAATTAAACTTTTAAAGGTAATGTTGCAGAATAGTGGCATAAAATTTTGTTTGTTAACTTTTGCCCTCTTGCCCTTAGTTATTGATTTAGGGATAGGCGAGGGCTTCAGTACATACATCGACTGATTTAGGGAGAACTCGCAAGAGAGTTGATAACACATCGAAGGGTCAGGGTTGGGGCAGGTATCAATTTATTTTCAAAGTTTATTTTTGAATGAATTTTAATCATAACAGAGTACAAAAATAATGGTGAATAATAGCGTTTTTAGTGTAATTTTTAAACTTCAACATCAAATTAGAGTACTTTGCTTCAATTTTCAGAGCTATGTTTTTATACGATTCTTAATCAGCATAAAATTTTCTATCATAATCAAAAATAAAAATAGGGGGAAGAGATGTAAATTAACGCCACAAAACTTTAAAAAAAAAAAAAATTCTTAAGTATTCATAAAAATTTCTGAAACAGTATAACTATTAAATGAATTTTACTTATCCTGCTTTCTTATCTTCCTTTCCTTATTCCTAATTTCTTAAGATTAGGTTGTTGTAAAACAGATATAAGTCTAAAATATTGAAAATGACCCTGAAAGTATAAAAATATCAAAAATTCACACTTTTCGGCAATTTTCAAGCCAGTTCTCTGGTAGCTTAAACTCATTTAAATTCAAATTTTTTGATATTTCTAAGTTTCATATGTTAAACCTCACCCTTTTTTAAAAAATGCCACTGGTAAATATGAATTTTTGAGTTTTGACCAAAGTATGACACACCCTAATATATATATATATATATATATATATATATATATATATATATATATATATATATATATATATATATATATATATACATATATATAGAGAGCCGTAGTATTTGCAGGTCGTCTGAGTCTATATATATTATATATATGATCACCCCTCGATTAGTAGTTTATTTACCTATATATTTTTCCAAATACACGCATCTAACTATTAGATACCCAAGAGTATATTCCTAGCATATATTTAAAATAAAACACGGGTCTTATTTGCCAATAAAATTTTGAATTTGTAAATAATAATGTCAGGCTGTATTATATAAATTGACATAAGGCAGTGGTGAGCAGCCGTAGCGCAGTGGTAAGCGCACTTGCCTCAGAAGCTAGAGATGTTTAAACACGGTTCAACACCATCTCTGAGCAAGTTTTGTAACATCGGTAAGAAAGAAGGCGTGAACTTTTCTTTAAATGCTCTTCCGCGGTGCTCTGTGATAAGACCGTAGGGACTGCTTGGGGCACCTAGAATTAAAAAAAAAGAATACTAGGCACAAACGTCAACGTAATTTGTTTTTGGGTTTGCTAACATTTAAATCGTGAGATATTTTTACTTAAGCTTTGTCGCTTTAGTTTTTAAATTGGTTTCTTTTAAATTATTTGAATATATATACATCTTGATAGATACACACTATATTTTGAATATGTTATATATCTGATCTGTGTGAGAAAAAAAAATTAAGATAACAGGGGTGATATATATATGTTTTACCTATAACAAAAATTATTTTATACCAAATAATGCTTTTATTATGCTTGTGGCTATAAATATAGCCGTTTTTTCTTCTTTCTTTCTTTTGGTTCATGAATTTTATGACTTTTGTAAAACCCGGTCAATAGAAATGTTTTTATTGACAAATTGATACTTCTTTCTCAGCGGAATCAGAGATATTAAAATAACTTTCTTATTAACTTCTTTTCTTTTTTTTTTAAACATGGCTTAAGACGCATATTCTCTGGATTTGTCTTTTGGTAATGGGATTTGAGAATACTTTTTAATCGCAAAGTTGGGCAAGGAATCGATTGATAAATAGTCTTGAGTTTGTTGAACTCCATGTGGATAGATTCTCCGCCTCGCTCTCCATAAAACCCTAATCCCGCTCCCCATTTTTCCATAAACGGAATAGCATGATGTTCTAACATATGCAGCTTAGGTGTCACTGAAGCCTCGGGCCAATTCAAACGATAAAATTGCATCAAGTTGTTTATATTTTTTTCTAAAAAAATTAAAAGTACAATTAAAAAAAAAAAAAAACAGTAGATATTCTTATAAAACATTTTATAAAATAATGCGACTTACTTAAAAGAATTAAATCGTCTTGTGTAATTGTATTTTTTGAAGAAAATATTTTATAGCACTGGGCAAATTTATCAAATAGTTGTTTATATTTATTGCTAATTTCAACTGCAAACTGATGCACGTTTGTTCCTGAATATCCTTCCTCGTGGACAAGCTTCGGGATGCAGTTGCATAGCTGAAGTATTGAAGATTTCTAAATAACAAATATACTTCACTAGTAATGTTAAGAGACAGTTTAGATATATTATAAGTTTATAATCAAAATGCGATATGAACTATTTTGCTATTGTGCCCGTTTTTTATGTTTAATTAACTTAATAATTAAAAATAAAATGGATTAACTTGCTATAATTAATTATTAATTTAATAAAAATTTTTGATTTTGTTGCTTTTAAAAGATTTATATAAGGTTAAATGACTTATTTATATATTGTCTTATTCATTGTAATTACATTAAATTCATTTGTTTTTATAACAACATCTGCATTAAAAGTAAAGAAAATAACTCATGAAAGATAGATAATAAATTATTATTTATCCAGTAAAAACCTAATTTGTTATTTACTTACTAGTAATTTTTTTTTATTTATACTAATCTTTAATTAAATTACTTTTAGCATTTTATGCACATGGTTTCCTATAAAACTTTTTCCGTGGTAAGCTTGACGTTGTACTTTAAGCTACCGTCTCGATCATCTTTGTGCATTGTCTTTGACCCAATTCAAAGGAATGTTTCCCAAACAGAGTATTATATATATTTGTCTGAAAAAAAACTTCAAATAGAATAACATAAACCAACAATACTTGCATAGCAGCAAAAATTATAACTTATTATGAATGTTATGTCTTTGTTGTTATGGAATGAATAAATTATTCATTCCATAACAACAAAGACAAAATGTGCACACATATAAACAGTTTACAAAATTGCTATTATTAATAATGCTTATATTAAGCTGTTTTCTATAATTAAATTGCACCATACCAAATGCTTGCAAAACTGTTTAATGCATACCAAATCAATTACAAACACAAACTCTATTTTAAATAAGTTTCACTACACATAATAATATAAAAATAATATGAAACAAAAATTATGAAATCAATAAAACATAATATCAAATTAATTAAACTAATAAATTGTTTAACCTTTTTTGCTTTTTCACAATTAAATAACTCAATTTCTGTAAAGTATAGAGATTGAATATTTTCTAAATTATCTGAACTGTTAACAGCAGCTAACAAAATAAAATCATTAATTAATTGAATTTGATTATCGAGGTTAGGAATTTCAGTTTGAAGATTTAACAGTTGTTTTTGTTTTGATACGAAAACTGGATATTCTTCCAAAAAATAGATGTTGCTTTTGACTGCTTCTGCAGCAATCAAAATGTCCAATTGATGGACTTCTTCAAAAAAATTAAAAAAATTCAAATAAATACCAAGAGCCATATGGAGACTAGGTAAAGATACCTAAAAATATATATTGAAAGTGCATAATGAATCTACTTTTAGCCGTACTGCAAAATTAATACGACAAATAAAAACAACATTACTTGATCTAGTGGTACTTTCAAAATTGGCTCTGTGATGACATTATTGAAATTTTTTGCATTTTTCTTTAAACCTCCGTTTTCTATAAATCTTTCATGGTCCAAAAACAGATCTTCTAAGGTACGATCTTTTATTTCAGAACTTTTATGCTCACCAAATTTCATGTCACTTGCTGTCGCATAACAGAAAAGACAACAATGCCTCCCTAAAATTAAAATCAATAAAAAATAATTACAAATTAAAGAAGAATAATTATTTATCATAAAAAAATTAAATATGTTCATAAATTTAAATTTCTTATAAATAATAATAATTATTATTTAATTTTTTGGTTATTATTAGTATTGTAAACTTTTTAATTGTATATATATATATATATATATATATATATATATATATATATATATATATATATATATATATATATATATATATATATATGTATATATATATATAATTTGTAATACTTTATGTAAATATTATATACAATATTGTGGTTTTTCTTTCAGCAAAAAAGTGCCAACCATTTTTTTTTTTTTTTTTGAAAATAATATATTTCTGTTTAAGTAGTAAAAACTATAAAACTGCTGATAATTTGTCCTTTATAGAGATAAAAATAAAAATAGAAAATGATCTGATGCTCCTGATATTTCATAGAGGGCACATAGAAACTGAATATCGCCAAAAACAAATACTCTAATATTGTTATCCCTGTAGAGGTATGTTAAAATGTTTAACATAAATTTAATTAAAATAACATTTGTAATGTATTATATTTATATTAAAGTATAGTTTACTAAAATAAATTATCAAAACTAACTAAAATATTTAAAAATTCAGCTATAAACAAAAAAAAACAGTTAATAGAAAAACAGTTTTATTAACTTACTTATACTTCATTTTTTGAAGATCTTCTATTTGCTTTTCAAACCTTGACATGGCTACTTTGACATTGACACTGTAATCTTTTGCCTCGAAAATGCTAAAAACTATGGTGTTGTCTTTGCTATTTGGGTTTAAGGTATTTGCAACCTGGTATGTCATTTTAAAACTCCCTCCACCATAATCACCTCCTATTTTAATTTGTATCTCTTTCTCATGAATAAATTCATAGTGATGAAGTCTTTTACAACTACATAAAAACAATACATTATTAAGTAATTGAATATATTATAAAATAATAAACTGATTTTATAGACAATGGCCTCATTTTAAATAATAACAAATAAGCACAAAAGATTTCAATTTGCTTTATAAATTATGCTTTTAAAAGAATTGTTAATTGATGGTTCAAAACTACCTTTCTAATTGATCAAGATGTCTTAAAATATGCATTGGTAAATTTTCAATATAGCCCCAAGATACATATTTTATTTCGAATGTTCCTTTTTCTTCCTTTTCAAAGGGAAATGGTGCATTTTCTACAACTAGGTCATCACCAGATAACTTTTCAGCAACTATTCTTTGTGAAGAATGTGATGCTGTATTTATATAAAAGCTCCTCAGCCACCTTTAAACAAACATAAAAAGTTATTTTTCATGCAACAAAAAACTAGTATATAATAAAATTCATATGAAAAAATAAAAACTTGAATATTGTTTTAAGCTTTTCCTAAGGTATGCACAGATCTGCTTTCATTGCTACCATGTTGGTTGCACTAATTACTACTCTTTCAGTATTTAAGTTATCTAATATTAACCTCTTTGTCTCTGCTTGAAATGAATTTATCAGCTTCGATATTTGGCAACAGACTGCATCATTGGATGTACCAGAAATAACTTTCATGTGTCTTTTGGTAGAAGCATTTCTGACTCTTATAGTTGTATTTGATGCTTGGTTACTGCTAACATATGCTTTTGGAGTAAGCGAAAACAAAACTGGCTAAAAAGAAAGATCTTTGAAAAGTAAGACCTATTTAATTTATAGTTATTACAAATTAAGCTAAAATTAAAAAATATCATTACTCTAGATCCTCCACTTTTAAACTCAACTACTTGTCCACTATCTTTAGCCATCTTTTGCTTAAGAACATGCAGTGCAGCATCTTCAACTATTCTTGGAATATCATTATCCACTGTGAGATTGAAAATCTCAGAAATGTTATTGTTAAATAAATAAGATGTTGATGATGATGTTGATACTGTAAAAGATGATGATGAAGCCAAGTTAGAAGCAAATGAAGATATTGATGGTGATAACAATGGGGCTGCTTGTACTATTGATTTATCAATGCAGACACTCTTATAATTAGTATATAAATCATATTCTTTTATTACATTGTATTTTTTTTTACATATACACTCAACAGTTAACATATTTAAAAGAGAATTTGTTTTAACACTTGTCACTAAATCTTCAGGTAAAATGAGTTCTTTACATTTTGGACATGATGTTTCATTGAGTTTTTTTACTTTTATATTTTCCACTATTCAGAAAAAACAAAATAAGTGTTTGCATTTTTTTAGAGTTACTGGTTGTTTTGGTATTTTACCACATAAATTACACTGACAAAGTTGTAAATGAGGATTAAATTCATTTTTTAATTCTTCAATAACTATTTCTGAGTCATGTGTTGTCACAATACTTTTTTTAATGTTAGCAATCATCGAAAATGACCAGAGTTTTTCACCAATACCAGGGCGACCAATAAGCTTATTATTTTGTTTAAGTAATTATGCAACATTTAGATCTTTACAGAGTTTTTCTACCTGTTGACAGCAAAAGCATTCATCACAATGAGGTTTCCAGTTCATACTTAAATGAAGTGTTGTTGATGTCATTCTTTTGATAACATTGTTAATAGTATTATAACATTTATGGCAAATTTTGTTTGGATGAACATTTTCTTGCTCATCTGATAGCATAACATGGAAAACCTTTTCAATTTTATTTTTTTGGTTTGTTCCAATAGGGTAACTTTTTTTACCAACCAAAAATCCACAAACCCTACAAAGAAAAGTCAAACTCTTGTTATGGATCTCCATCTAAGAAAAAGACAAGTTTTTGGACAAGTGTACTGAATAACGGCTTTAACTTTATCTATTAAATAGTGGAAATATTCAAAAACTAAATTAAATTAACAAAAAAATAATAAACTGCATACAAAATAAAAGACTTTTTTTAAAATTAAAATATAAAAACTTTGTTAACTTTTGTACGTAAGGACAATTTTCATTAACTAAAATGGTGTCAATTTATCCCAAATCTTTGATGTAAATTTTGAACAAGAAAAAAAATTGAGTGCTAAGATTATTTATTAATAACAAATAGATATAAGATTCATATAAACAAAATTATAAAAAGTTTTAAGTTTCACCCTTCAAAAAAAAAAAAAAAAAACACTTATAAATTTATAAACAAATCGAAGAAAAAAAATTTTCTAAGTAAAACTGCATCATTCATAAAATAATGTTCTCCTTTTATTTTTCTTACTAAAAAGTAAAAACTAAATTACCAAAACACTACTGATAGCCAAACGACTGGTTTTTTCGTATAAAATGATAAAAAACGCAGTAAGTAATAAAAAAATTGGTCGTCCACTTTGTAGCTAAGGCCCGAAGCTATCTTGAAAGTCTTAAAATTTTTATTATCTAACTGCGCTTGCGTACAATAACTTGTCGTTTTATTTAGTGAGTTATTGTACGCAAGCGCAGTTAGATAATAAAAATTTTAAGATAATAAAAATTTTAATAAAAATTTAAAATTGACAATTTAATTGTACCGATTTTATTTGTTAATAAAACACGTGTTTTATCTTGTCACTTTGTTTTAACATATATTCACATAATTAATAATTTTCTAAACAAACCTACGCAAATTGTGTTTAAACTTCAATTTTAATTTTTATTTGAATAATTCACAAATTCAATATCATTTTCAGAATGGGGCAGAAAAATTTTTTTTTTTTCATGAAGTTGTTTTTATTATATAGCACTTCAAAGTTGTTGTTAACAAATAAAATCGGTACAATTAAATTGTCAATTTTAAAATAAATATATTGCTTCATTTTTTATAAAATAAATAGGGTAAAAGAGGGTAGAATAAAGAGCGACTACATCCTGAAAGTAATACTTGAAAACAACATTTTGGGTATATGGCGCGTATATCTTTTTAAATGGATAGCATACGTTTGTTTGCTGTTTTGCGTTTAAGACAAATGAGCACATAGAGCTAAGGCAATAAAAAAAAATTATTTTTATTTATAAACACATTTATTTTATTTATTTATAAACAAGTTTATTTTATTTATAAACACATTTATATTATTTTATTCATAAACACATTTATTTTATTTTATTTATAAATACATTTTTATTTTATTTATTTTATTTTATTTATAAATTATTTATTTTTTTATTTATAAACTATAAAGTTTATAAACTATAAACTATTTTTATAACTAAAAACTATATTTATAAACTATTTTATTCATTAACTATTTATAAACTATTTTATTTGTAAACTATTTATAAAATAAATTTATTTTATTTATAAACACAAATTATAAAGCTATTAATAAAATATCAAAGCAGCAAAATAATATTACAAAAAGTATAAACTTATATAGCTTGATAATGTAACCCGAAAAAGTAATCTAGCCTTCATGGGTTTTAATAATCGTAATTTATCCATTTAAAAAGATATATGCGCTATATATCCAAAACGTTGTTTTCAAGTATTACTATTGTTATCCGCACATCAGGATTTAGTCGCTCTTGGTGAAATGAAATAGTGGGAAGTAGTGCAGCAGATTAGCATTAGTAATGTCTAGAATTGGGCACAAGTGGATAAAATCGTGAAATTTTCACCAACAACTCAGTAAATTATGCCTATTATTTTAAGATATGAGGATGAAGTGTAGCACTACCAAAACTGGGTTAAATCCAAGATAACAGTTTCCTCCATCTTGGATTTATAAAAGCATTAGTAAATTTTAAACCGTTAAACTAATCTTTAACAAAATATTAAAAAGGTTAGAACATAGCAAGTATATATTGATCGTAGATGCGCCCATGAAGATAGGAAGTGTTAGAGCACGACCCTTTTTCCCGAAAAAAGGCTGCCCCCTCCCATCCTAAAAATAAGATTTTTTCAAAAGTTTCATTTGAAATACTTTTATATTTAATGTATATTTACATTTTTGTAAAATAAATTGAGGACATATTAAAAAAAGGTGTCTAAATTTCTATTTAGACCTAAGTAGGCTCGCAAACAACACAGGTGCAAAAATCATGACATAAGTGACTGCCACTTGAATAGCCACTTACGTCAGTGAGTGAGTGCTTTTACTTAACCTTGGTAATACGAATACCTTAGTAATATTAAGGTTTTTACTTGTATATGCGCATGGTGCTGCAGAGCATACACTTTGGTCATAAAAGTCATTTAAAATCTCTTATTGTTAAAAAGCACCCCCTTCCCTAATATTTTTTAAGTTATGGGTCTAATGTCGGGGCAGGCTAAAGAAAATTGATAACGAAGCTAACAGCACCCTAGAACAAATTTATAATTAAAGTAACAAGTTTTTATCTTATCAGAGAAAATCTTAAGCATTTTTATAATACATAAAATATATAAAGAGTTTTCAATAATACAATAAAATGCATAAATATTGCAAATTTATTGAGATATAAATTATTGAGATGCAAATACGCAGCAAACCAAAATACATATGATTTTAAATACAAAATATATGCAATCTAAGCTAAATTCATCAAAATGGCTTTATATTAGACACTCCCTCAACTTCACAGAAATATATATATATATATATATATATATATATATATATATATATATATGCTCAACTGCAATCAGCTTAATCACTTGGATCAGCTTTGCAACAAATGTTTTGTATCCAACACATTGACATAAAAAAAGAAAAAATGTAGATATGCCAAGATTCGAAAACGAATGTCTCAACAAACCTGAAATACTTGAAAGGTTGAAAGATGCTGATAGCAAAAAAGCAGCAAAGCAAGCTAAAAAACAACCTAAGCTTAGCTCTAATGGAGAACAGCAAATAAACCAAGCAACAAGTCCAACAAAAATATTAGCTGCAAACTAATTCAAGTGTAAAAAGTGCCGAAAAGTTTTGGTCGAAACTTCAGCAAGTCAAGTTATGGAATGGTTCCAGTGTGAACATGCATACCAAATTGATACGAAAAAGGCGCTGAGTTTTACAAAAAGTGCCGCACAAGTGAAAACTCAACTCTAGTACCTCTAAACGCCTCAACATCATCACAAGAATAAAAATGTTTATTTGATTTGATTGATTTTTTTAATTGTTATTATTGATTATTTTTTAAATTTTTTGAGTCATGCATAGTAATAGGTGGAGATTCAACTAATATCAACATAGGATGGTCAGGGGGAATTCATGCCCGTCTTGAAAAAATGTTCGGACATAAATGCTATTGGGTGATTTGCATGAAACATATAAATGAACTCAAGCTACGATATTTGATTATATCCCTTGATGGTCCGACAAGTAGCAAGGACGGATTTACAGGATCAGTTTGCAAAAATCTTAAGTATGTAAATAGTATGACAATAAATTATAATTTTACACCCCTGCAGATGGAGAGGAACTTCCAAAATTTGATGAGAAATGCATAAAAAGCTTATCTACTGATGCTTATATCAGTTAGAGATATGTAAATGCTATCAAGGCAGGAAAACTTTCTCCGGATCTCTCAAATCTAAAATGTGGATCACTGTCTCATTCTCGCTGGCTTACAACTGGTATGGCTTTGATGTTTTTGAGGACAAGAAATCATAACCTTAAATAAAGTGAGCTAGAGATCTTAAAGATATTCAGTTTTGTGTCAAAATGTGTTTTAAACCTTATTTTGAAATTTCTTCCAAACTTCTGTTGGAGGACGGACAAAGACACATCTTGCTTGAACCTAAAATTCTTAAAACACTCCCAGTCAATGTGGCGAATATTATTACACCTTATATACGAACTGGGGTTTGGTACAGCCATAGTGAGTACTCACTATGGCTGTACCAAGCCCCAGTTCGTATATACCAGAATATACTCGAGTATATTCTGGTTTCACTCTTGACTAGCTCTAATAAAAATGAAAGTAAGTTTGGTGTTGATAAGGTTTTACACTACTGTTCGATAAAGAATATCTCCGAAAATTAATCTTGACGCTACTATTCTTCAAGAATTAATTTCTTGGTATGTAAAAGATTGTTATAAACCAATATTTACATGTAATCTTTCTAAATTGAAGGTCTCCAAATTCATTAAAAATCCATTGAAAATTCCTAAATTCAGAATTAACCACTCAAGCAACATAACGCTGCGTCAAAAGCGTGATAGAAACATCTGTCATCGTTACGGCCTAGAAAGAAGAGATGGATTTGTTAGAACAAGAAGTATACACAGGAAAGAAATTCCCACCTTCAAATCAAAGAAAGATGTTCTTGAAATAAGTCTAAGAAATAAAATAAGTTCTAAGAAATAAAACAAAATTGTATATTTTGTATTTTTTCATTTTTTATTCAAAACTTAAACTTATAAAACTTGAAAACCGCTTTCAAATGAGAAGTTTTTTTTTAATAAAATATTTAACAAAAAAAGTTTAAACCTTTTAGCAAATTAAAAAATATGAGGTTGAGTAATTTTAAAATTAAAAATTTTTACCCTACATTAGGGCTGATGACATAAATTCATTTGTTCAGAGGTAGGCCAGGGGGTTTCAGAGGGGGAGGGTTTTCCTAGGCTTTTATCATTAAGAAAGTTTAATCAGTTTCTGATAAAACAACGCTATTTGACATAAGTATTAAAATAAAATAATTTAGAGTTTACACTTTTCTAAAAAAATTAATAATGTTATAAATAATGATATATTGCATATCTAAAAGTGACAATTGTACTACCAAAACGTTTTCAAATTAAAAAAACACTAAAAGAAAACTCGAATTAGAATTTAATTTTACATAAGAATATGAGTACGCGCTTCGAAAAATAGTGATTTTTATAAATTATGGTACCAAGCGATGCACCCTACTTTGCAATGCTATTTGAAATTGCGTGAAACAAAAACCGACCGAAAAACAAAAAATGACCGAAAATATCACTGGGACCAAAACAATAACAAAGTTTTTCTAAAAAAAATTGCTGCTGTTTTCCCGCGTACTTTTTATGTTTGAACGTGAAAAGTTCTTAAACTAATCAAAGAGAGTTTCATTCCGATTTTTTAACATGACATAATGTTAAAACTTCTTTGACTAAAAAACGTACGTGTCTAGATTTTCAGACTTTGTGCCATTTAGTTAAAAAAAGGAAAACAGTATCAAATATTTAGGTGGAAATTTTTGTGTTATGGTTTATCTATATTTTTAAAAGTAAAGTTTTTGACATTAATAATGCCATTATCAAAATATTGATATTATTATAATAGTTATACACTTAATTCTAAAAATTATTATCTAATAGATAAAACAATCAAGTTTCTGGTAATGACTACATTAACACTCAAAAAATCTTTTTAGTGTTTCTTCTATTTCGTGGAATCTTTTTGCTAAATATTTTTGTTATAGGTTTTTTATTATTTTTGAAGGGTGTGTGTGTGTGTGTGTGTGTGTGTGTGTGTGTGTGTGTGTGTGTGTGTGTGTGTGTGTGTGTGCCTGAAGTTAAAAATTTGGTACCAGTGGTATTGAAAATACATTTTAATAAAGAAGAAACATTTAAACTTTAAAAGTCTGCATTTTCATAAAATAAAATATCGGTGGTTTTTATTGAAATGTAGTCTCTAGACTACTTCTAGAAACAAACATTTCCTACACTTTTCTTACATTTCTTGAAACAAGCATGGTGCTTGAAATCTGCAGATCTAACAAAAATTTTGTAAAACAAATGAAAGATTTGTGATGTACTATTACCTCTAAATGATACATTTTATACAAAATGTGCACACCATTTGTGTACACCACTAT